TGTTTGGCCAATAGCCTAATCATATTGCTAACAAACTCTTACATCTAGAATCAACCTATTTCCATTATTTTATATTTTACCACGAGGCTCATGACATCCTTTAACTCTGCCTACTCTCTCTCTCTCTATGTATCTTTTCCCGCCTGGCTATATTCTGTTAAGCCATTAGCTGAAAGCAGCTTCTTTATTAACCAATAAAAGCAACAGATATACAGAAGGACTTCCCACACCAGGGAGAGGCCAGAGGGAGGACTCAGTTATCTTTGAGGGGCTGCCCATGCCCTGATGCTTATATGAGCAATGGAGATTGCACTTGGTCCATCTTTTTTTTTTGGGGGGGGGGAGCAAGGGTGGGAGAATGGACCTGGGAGGAAGGGGAAGCAAGTGTGATTGAGGTGAATTGTGTGAAATTCCCAAATAATCAATAAAAATATTATGTTGCAAAAAAAAAAAGTCACCGTACTCCAGATAGAGCCATTCCCTAAAAAACACCTATTTGACCTTCCAAAGTGAGCCTTCTGCAGAGCATTTGATACACGTTTGCGGGCATGGGAGAATTTCTTAGGGCTGTGAAAGCCCCATGAGTTGGTTCTGCTCAGACCTGGAGTCTGGCATTGTATGCTAAGCTGCAGCAATTGTCTGCCAAGTAGAACATAGATGCAGAGAGGTTGCTCTCTGGTGGGGCAGGCGAATATTACAGCGCCGGGGATATCAGGAAATCAGTCTCCAAAAATCTCTCTCCCCCTCTCTTTCTTTCCTCACTACTTAGCCCAGGCTGGCCTCAGATCCCCCAAATCCTCCTGCCTTCCAAACGCTGGGCATTTGATGTTCATCTTCTCAAATTCCTATTTACTGTACTAAAGAAGCAAGGTGGGATTGAGACCCTCCTCTTCCTGTTCTAAAGAGGTCGAAGTCTACAGAGACCTAACCCCCCTACTAAAGTCCTTCCCCTGTAGTTATGTGCACACGTAGCTGTTATGCCCAAATCCACGAAGTCCCCCAAAAGCCAACAAGGAGACTGAGTCCTGTATGCAAAGAGCCTTTATTTTATGCAAGTTTGAAAACTTGGTCTCTCCACATGGTCAACATATTGGAATAAACGCAGAGCCCCGAGCTTGGTTAGACTTGGGTTTTATAGTAGTAAAGGTGGGGGTGAGGGGTTTCTAAGGTTCAGGACCCATGATTGGCTGACATTTGTGTAGGGGTGTCCTGATGAGTGTGTACTGGCAGGTGGTCCTATCTACAGCAGTTGGAACTTTAGGCGTTTCCTTTGAATGGTCTGTTCTTGGGTGGTACTCAGGTAATCTTAGTTTATGGTCCTTCCTGCAACCAGGTATTGCTTCAGGATAAACTACTGAGACTCAGGCCTCCATTAAACTTGATGGCTGAGTCCTACTCTGGCAGGTGATCATGGCTGGAAGTAAAGAACTTCCTTTGGGTGGTCTGTTCATATGTTGCTGACCATGGCTGGCTCCTGCAGTGGCATTGTGACCGTATGGTGGCTGTCTTCTCACAGCGCTAGGGAACAAACAGCACACTTTGGTCTGCACCTTTCCGGTGGTTTGCTAGCTGGTGAAGCTGACTGAGCTCTCTCCAAAGAAGACTAGGGCAGCGGGTGAGAGAGGTGGAGCAGATCTGGTGAGACCTGTGCCTGGCTCTAGAGCCATGCCTGAGCTCTGGGCTCTGCCTTGCCCAATTGGGGGAGCTCTGGGCACTGCCTTTCCCAGCTGGGGGAGCTGGACCTGTCATTGGAATAGAACATCAACTTTCGAGTAACTCTCCCATGGCAGGGCACAGTGAACCCCCTCACCCCAAACTAGAAGAACAGGTTGCATGACTGTTGTGCAAACTTTTGTGGGAGACAAATATCTATTCACCCCAGAGAAGACACCAATGGCAGACCAAAGATAACTCCACCTGAATCTAGCTTGGTTTGTGAATGAAAAAAGGAGGAGGAGGAGGAGGAGGAGGAGGAGGAGGAGGAGGAGGAGGAGGAGTAAAGAAATGAAAGATGACTGCTCCTAGGTGGAGGAGGTTTATTGTAGCTACATGAGAGAGTACAGCCAGAGGCAGGGACCTCTGGGAGAGTCTAAAGTGTACATGACCCTGATCTAGGCCATGGGGAGAGAAGGAGGAGGAAGAGAGAGAGAAGAAAGCAGGTGAACCCAGTGCAGCAGCCACAAAACCCAGGGGTACAAAAAGAGTGGGTAACCAAAACAGCTGGATTATATAGGGAAGGGCAGCCAGGGCCCTGGGCTGGAAAGTTCAGGGTGGGGGTGGGATATGCCAGCCAGGAGGGCCCTGTAGCAGGTAGGGCTTGAGGAATTTAGGGAGAATCTGGCCCGCAGTATCCGCTTTGTTATGTTAAACAGGCACCTCATCCTTTTGTCCCAGGTTGGAAACCTAGCTTGGTAAACCAATGCATTTAATTAGGAGCTTGAGTGAGGGGTTATTTATAAGTTTATAGGCGTATGGGTAAATTACTGAAGAAAACTGTCTCAGCAATCGTGAACCGCTCATCCACCCTCCGGTAGGTGGGTGTCCTCCAAGCCCGCGACCATCAGCTGCCCGTGTCTAGTTTCTGGTCAGTTTGCTACCTGCTAGGGTCGAGAGAGAGAAAGAAAGAGAGAGAGAGAGAGAGAGAGAGAGAGAGAGAGAGAGAGAGAGAGAGAGAGAGAAACCTCAACTGAGACCGCCTCCACGTGACGAGGCTACGGGTAAGCCTGTGGGAGCATGGTCTTGTCGCAGATCTGTATGGGAAGGGCCTAGCCCACCGTGGATGGTGTGGCTCCTAGGCAGGTCACGCGGTAGGAGAAGCAAGCCAGTAAGTAAGCCGTGTTTCTCCCTGGCCTCCGCTTCAGTTTCTGCCTCTGGGTTCCTGCCATGGCTTCCCCTCATGATTTGTCAGCCCATAGAAACCCCTACGTCAGGGTTTAGTGGCTGAGGAGTACTTTGGCCATTGGAGCCAAGGGATGCTTCAGAGATCACACCATGCAACAGATCATGCAAGCCATTTATTGGGGGGCGGGGAGCGAAAGGCCACCTCTAATGGAGGCAGGAGAAAAGTGGGCCAGTGATGGCAGGGACTTTTTAAAAGGGCATGCATTTCACATTTGGCGGCTGGTGATGACATTTTGCTTTTGGCCGCTGGTGCTGAGTTGCTCAAGGTGGGCTGGGATGTGGGGGTGGTGGGGAGTGGGGAGTTTTCAGGGGAGAGAATCTGGTTCCTAACACCCTATGAGTTGCTTTTGGTCATGGTGTTTTTATCACAGCAATGCACACCCTAAGGAAGACACTGCCTAGATGTCCCGGAAAGGAGTGGAACCCCTTGAGTCCCTCACCAGTGACGGTCTGCCACAATCCCCCTTCCCTTGACCCTTGTATTCTTTTCTTCCCCTCCTTCTGTTAAACCTGAGATTCTTGAGGAGGAAAAAACAAAAACTAAGTCCACAGCTGTCCAACTAAAGCAAATTGTATTTTGGGGTACACCCGGCACTGGCCAGCTGGCTGCCTCCCTCCCAAGTCAGGATTTGAGAGAGCAGCCCCCACTGGCGTCCTGAAGAGGGTTGGTAGTTACACATTGTCAGAGGGATACAGAGAGAAGGGAGAAACGGGGTTGCAAGAAGTTGACTTCAGCCCTTAGAAACAGGAACTTCTTTTTAATTAGAAATAGAAACCTTATTTTGCAAGGATTTAACACAGGACAAACACGAACTATTCTTTAACTAGGGTTTAACAGCGAACAAACAGGAACTTCTTAATTACAATTGAAAACCTTAGCTTGCAAGGACTTAACACAGGACAGACAGGAACTTAATTCTTTATCTGTCCTAATGGCAAACAGAACGTTCAACCTGCCAGGTATAGTCTTCCTGTTTCTGTCTCCCATTAACTTGCGAGGGAGATGGAGGAAGAGAAGAGATGGTGGTGGCGGGCCAAACAAAACTAAATAGATATGAAAATGTCACAAAGAAATTCATTACTTTGTAAGTAACTATAGGAGAGAAGGTAGACCTTTCCTATAAATCAGAGACGGGGCAGGGCTTCTTAAATACACCCCCCCCCCTCCCGCCTCCAGGTCAAGGGGCTTAGTCATGTGATGATCTGATCTGTGCCAGTAACTGCACAGTTCAAAAGGGCAGCAACATTGTCATTGCCAGAGGACGGACCCGGCTAATAAATCTTGACTATCTGGAGTCTTTGATACGCCACTTGCTCTCAGTGTCATCTACCACTTGGTGGTGGGAATGAAAACACACCACTTACCCATGAAAGAAATACTGACTGGCCAAACTGGCTTAGATTAGTTAACAATACCTGCTGCATCTTCTTGCTATTTACCCATCAAGAATGACTACATCCTGCCGTATGCCTATTCTGGAGTTGCGCCTGGATGTCTACTGTAGGCAGGGGAGACAGCTTTGGTTTTATGGCTAGTCTTGAGCAGGAGCTTTTGAAGAGAGGGCTCGGAAGGGTGAAGGCGAGCAATGGCGGTCTACTCAGGGAAACCAGTTTAGGAAGTGGCCGAGGTTGTCAAAGTGCAGGGAATCTGGAGGAGAGAGGGTCAGTTTTGGAATATCAGAAGAGCTTCCCAGGGACCTAACCTGAAATACTCTGTTTGTTCATCCACCCACCCCTGTCCCCCATGCCACACACTCACACACACCTATGCCCGCATAAATTCAGAAAGCACCTAGGAAGAGTGACAAACAAAACGCGAAATACGGGCTCTTGCAAAACCACGGATTCCTGCCTTCAGAAAGCTCACAGGAGGAGACATAAATTAACCAAATAAGCTTGTAAGTCTTTGTAAAGCTGTTGGAAGACAGGCTTGAACCCGGCTTTTCACTCCCCAGGGGCTAAGTGTGGGCTCCTGGCTCCGCCCGGCCGTCGGGGGGCGCTGCCTCCTCCCGTGCGGCGGGGGGCGCTGCGGGCCGTGCGGCGGGGGGCGCTGCCTCCTCCGGGACGGCGGGGGGCGCTGCGGGCCGGGCGGCCGGGGCGGCCCGGGCCGGCGCGGCGAGCGGCTCGGCGGATGGAGAGTCTGGCCGCGGCCGGCGGCGCCGCCTCCTCGTCGGGCCGGGCACGGCGGGCCGGGGCCTTTGTGTGAGGCGGCGGCGGCGATGGTGCTCGGACCCCGCGGAGCCGGGTAAGCGCGGCCGGGTGAGGGCTGCCCCTGGCCGAGCCGGACTCCCGCTCGGCCTTTCTGTCGCCCTGGCTGGGCGCGCCCTGCCGGTGTCCCCAGCCGGCTCGATCTCCCTCCCGGCGACCGGGCCGCGGCTCTCGGGCCTCGGCTCGGCCGGCTCCCGCGGCGCCCGGCCTGTGTCTTGCGGGGGCAGCTCGCGCTGCCTGGGACGACCGAGATGCCCCCTCCCCGCGGTGGTGCGCCCCAGCCCCGTCCTGCCTCTCCCTCGGCGGATTGCACGGAGGGGCGACCGCGGCGCCGCCAGACCCTTGGGGCACACTCCTTGCAAGTTGCAAATCTACCGGGTACCCGGACCCTCCCACGGTGGATGAGTGACCGCCAGGGCCCGGGAGACGCGTGGTTGGTACCCAGTAGTACTCAGACGAGTGCTGGGCCCCGGAGAAAGTTGGGAATTGTTGATAGGACCTGGTGCGATGGAGAAAGGGGCTGTGCTGCTCAGGGCGAGTTGTGAGCCGCACAAACATGTGACTGGCTTTAGCTGACTGTTCTTCCGAGGTGTGCGGGAGCCGAAAGGGGAAAAAGTATTAAAAAGGCTTGAAGGAATCTTTCCTATGCAATCGATGTCTTTCATAAGGCAACCAATTGTTAGAGGCAAGGAGAAATCCAGCATACCTAAGTAATGTTAAAATACCACAGTTGTGTTTGCTTTGCATTCTTCCTTGGTTGTTAGTTTAGCGTCATCGTCATCGATAGTAGTAGTTCCAGCGGCGTCCAGAATGGCTCTGGGGAGGGCCAGGGATAGGCACGTAGCCTGGGAAGGGCGAGATGGGAATTCTAGAGGGTGAGATTTTGAACTGGGTCTGGTGGCTCACACTTGTAATCTAGCATTTGGGAGGTGGAGGCAGGAGGATCATGATGAGTTCAAGTCCATCCTTAGTAACAGCAGTTTCAAAGTCAGCCTGGGCTACATAAGACCCTGTCTCAAAAAAGTAAAAAAGAAAGAAAGAAAGAGTGTGAGCTTTATTAGTGACAGACAGCTAAAAGTAGACACCTTACCACGTTCTCAGTAGCCAGTGGTGCTTTGATAATGGTGTTCAAGTTGATTTGTGGCATTTGACATTGTGAGGGAAGAGGATAGACTTTAAATGACAAGGGAAACTTGACTTAGGAGGTTAATAAAAAGATGGAGCCCGCTGTTTTGGCCGTACAGATGATTGTGTTCAGTGGAAAACTCGTAGCCAGACACCTGCAGCCACATCGCTCTTCATAGCCCAGACTGTCCTAGAACTCCTGATATTCTGGCCCAAACCATCCGAGTGCTAGAATTATAGGTATATGCTATTGGTATATAAACCTGGTCTCTTAGGTTTTTTTTTTTTTGGTTTTTCAAGACAGGGTTTCTCTGTGGCTTTGGAACCTGTCCTGGAACTAGCTCTGTAGACCAGGCTGGTCTCGAACTCACAGAGATCTGCCTGCCTCTGCCTCCCGAGTGCTGGGATTAAAGGCGTGCGCCACCATCGCCCGGCTCTTAGGTTTTTTAAAAAGGATTTGTTTATTTTTGTTTCCTGTGTATGAGTGCTCACCTACATGTACATAAGTGTACTGTGTGGTTCTGTTGCCTGAAGAGACCAGCAGAAGGTGTCAGATCCCCTGGAACTAGAGTTACAGACATGTTGGTGCTGGGCATGGAACCTGGGTCCTCTATGAACCGCGGATGCTTCTAATGACTGAGCTGTCTGCAAGCCCAGATTCTTAGACTTTTTTCTCATCCCTTTGTGGTTTCATCATGACAGTTCTCTAGTTGGGTTTATACAGGGAACAGACCACGCTCCTCCCTTGTTCTCCGGTTCTCCTGTCCGCTTACCCCTGCTCACCCAGGGCACATTTAGAGCGGTGGTGTCCTATACAGAGTTCCTTTCTAGGGATGTCTGGCTATCTTTTTTTTGTCTTGTCCACAGATTGACCTTGCTGATAGAGGCCACTTCCTAGGAGCTGCTAAGATGGGCATGAGAATCAAACTGCAAAGCACCAACCACCCCAACAACCTGCTGAAGGAACTCAACAAGTGCCGGCTGTCAGAGACCATGTGCGATGTCACGATCGTGGTGGGCAGCCGCTCCTTTCCTGCCCACAAGGCAGTGCTGGCGTGCGCAGCTGGCTACTTCCAGAACCTCTTCTTGAATACTGGGCTCGATGCCGCCCGGACCTATGTGGTGGACTTCATCACTCCTGCCAACTTCGAGAAGATTCTGAGCTTTGTCTACACCTCGGAGCTTTTCACAGACCTGATCAACGTTGGGGTGATCTATGAGGTCGCCGAGCGTCTGGGTATGGAGGACCTGCTTCGGGCCTGCCACTCCACGTTCCCCGACCTGGAGAGCACTGCAGTAGCCAAGTCCTTGACCAGTGAGAGCCAGTCTGGTACTCTGAGGTGCCCTTCAGTAGATCCCACCCACCCTCTTGGGGAACTCCGGGGAAGTGGGGAACACTTTGGTCCTGAGAGAAACTATGCGTTGCCTACTGATGCTGGAGGGAGTTATAAAGAGGAAGAAAGGAGTGTTGTCAGTGACGCCAATCACAGCTTGCCCCTGCCACAACTGCCCTTGCCACCAAAGACGGAAGACCACGATGCCCCTGTTTCATTCACATCTGTTCCTACTGTGGTGACCCAGCCAGTCCTAGGCACTGTCAGCACGGGCATCCAGACCAGCGCGAGTTCTTGCCAGCCATACAAAGTTCAGAGCAATGGAGACTTCAGTAAAAGCGGCTTCTTCGCCTCCGATAGTGCCATAGACGTTACAGCTGGGACCAACTCCTGTTTGAGCAATAGCGACCACTCCAAAGATCCAGGCTTTGGGCAGGTGGACGAGCTCCAGCTGGAGGACCTGGGGGACGAGGATTTGCAGTTCGAGGACCCGGCTGAAGAGATTGGGACAACTGAGGAGGTGATCGAGCTGAGTGATGACAGCGAGGATGACCTGACTTTTGGTGACAGTGACAACCGGGAGAATAAGGCCATGCCCTGTCAGGTATGCAAGAAAGTTCTGGAGCCCAACATTCAGCTGATCCGGCAGCACGCTCGGGACCATGTGGACTTGCTCACAGGTAACTGCAAGGTCTGCGAGACCCACTTCCAGGACCGGAACTCCCGGGTGACCCATGTCCTGTCCCACATCGGTATTTTCCTGTTTTCCTGTGACATGTGTGAAACGAAATTCTTTACTCAGTGGCAGCTGACGCTGCATCGACGGGACGGCATATTTGAGAACAACGTCATTGTCCACCCTAACGAGCCCCTTTCTGGGAAACTGGGTCTCTTTCCAGGGGCGGCCTCCCCAGAGTTGAAGTGTGCTGCTTGTGGGAAAGCGTTGGCCAAAGATTTCCACGTGGTCCGAGGCCACATCCTTGACCATCTGAACTTGAAGGGCCAGGCCTGCAGCGTCTGTGACCAGCGCCACCTCAACCTGTGCAGCCTCATGTGGCACACTCTCTCTCACCTGGGCATTTCGGTCTTCTCCTGTTCAGTCTGTGCCAGTAGCTTTGTGGACTGGCACCTCCTAGAGAAGCACATGGCTGTGCACCAAAGCCTGGAGGACACCCTGTTCCGCTGCCACTTATGCAGCCAGAGCTTCCGGTCTGAGGCTGCCTACCGCTACCATGTCAGCCAGCACAAATGTACCAGTGGCTTTGACACGCGGCCTGCTCTGGGGCTACAGCACCTCGCCCTCCAGAAGCGGAAGCTGCCCACGGAGGAGTTTTTGAGTGAGGAGCTGGCTTTGCAGGGCCAGCCTGCCAACAGCAAGTATAGCTGCAAGGTCTGTGGGAAGAGGTTTGCCCACACGAGTGAGTTCAACTACCACCGGCGGATCCACACGGGTGAGAAACCTTACCAGTGCAAGGTGTGTCACAAGTTCTTCCGAGGTCGCTCGACCATCAAGTGCCACCTCAAGACGCACTCGGGGGCGCTCATGTACCGCTGTACAGTCTGTGGCCACTACAGTTCCACCCTTAACCTCATGAGCAAACATGTCGGTGTCCACAAGGGCAGCCTTCCGCCTGACTTCACCATTGAGCAGACCTTCATGTACATTATCCATTCCAAAGAGACTGAGAAGAACCCCGACAGCTGACGGGGTCTCCGCAGAGCCGGGGGGCTCCCAGGTGGCAGCCGGGTAGTGATTTTCTAGAGGGTCCTTCCCAGCTGACGCTACAGTTTGCCTTGCTAGGAATTCTCTGTATCGCGTTGAGAGAAGAAAGAGCACACAAGCTGGTACTGTTTGTTTGCGAGAGGCAGCAGCCTGGTGCGTTTACCTCCATACCTGTTCTTGCTCACACAGGGCTGCATTCTTGGTTATTTTGAGGCTGGTCTTTAGGATCTAGTCAAGTGGGCCTGTCTACTAGGTCCCCTTTGCCAGTTTCTCTTGTTTTAGTTTTTTACTGATAGATTTTTATGCTGCTAAGAACCTACCAGCAGCCTCACTGGATAGAAGAGGTGGAGAGAGGTTTTCACTGTGGGGGTGACTGCCCAACCTTTGGCGGGACAACAGCTCTGAGAAGGTTTGGGGAATGTAGTCATTTGGAAGGATGAGCAACAGGGCAGGGCAGTTCATCTCGGGGTCCCACCCCCTCAGTAGGGACAAGGTGTCAGGAGCTGAGGGCGCTACTTGCTCCGCTTCTCAAATCTCCCGATTAGATTGAAAATCTCTTGTCAGCTAGATCTAAACTGAGGACCAAGCTTTCTGTTTAGGTTGGCAAGCTTTGGGTGTCCCATGGTGCCACCCGATGGGAAGCCTGGATGGATGGAAGAAGATGCCCTTCTTTTTCCTCGTTTCCAAAGAAACATGATTTTTTTAGAGTATAGCCCTGGATGTCAAGCCTTCTGTCAGAGGACAGAGAGCCACTCAATGTAGTCATCTGTCACCTGGCCATCTCCTTAGCCCCGCGTCTCCCGGGCACGGAGGAGACTTCTGACAGCAGCAGTCTTGCCTTAATTCACATCAAGTCTCCCACTCAGGATGGTTTGGCCTACAGCGTAGACGAGAAGACCCTGTGAGGCGGTGGATCGTGAGCCCTTCGGGATTTAAGGAACCCGATTGACTGGTGGTATATGGCAGGGTGTGCGCTCTGACGGTCTCACATGGGTACCTTGTTTACTTGGTAGTAAAAGTATGGGAGTTTGGCGTTGATGCTGAGCATCGCCTCCAGGGGGCGCTCTTGGATGGTAGCTGGCTTAGGCCTTCCGTGTGGCTGTTTGGCTCCTTAGTCTTTGAAAGGGCCTTGCCCAAAAAAGGCTGGAGGAGAGAACCTTTGATCTTGCATACTTATAAGATGGCACCTCAGTAGCTCATACTACCTCACCCTGCTCAGGTGAGCTCTGAGAGTCCCTAGTTTTGGGCCCAGCCACTGCCACTGCCCCTGGTGGGACTCAGCAGCACCCTGGGCTATTCCATAAACAAGTGGTTTTAATTAACTCACAAAGCCTTTTTAGACATCAATATTTATTTATTTTTATTTTGTATACGTATTACCCAGCATCTCTTTTTGATAAGTGACTGTAGGAAAATTAGTTTCTCTCAAGCAAGGAACCATATTCTACCAGACGGGTCTGGCTGTGGATTTGGAGGACAGGCGTGCAAGCACGGGAAGACGTGCCAGGCCTTTTAAGGAGCACATTTTCGCTTCTCCAGGGGTAGTCTCTAGCAGAACAAACCTAGATCAAGTCACATGCAGGTTTTCGCACAGTTTTTATCCATCCAGCGTGGGCGGCCTCCTGTCCACGTATCTTAAGACACAGGCAAAGCAAAGCCTTGTCCTTGGGCTGGGGAAGCCTTGAGTAAAGAAATGCCCGGGGCATCCGGGGGCTCACGTGATGGGCCTCTGACAGTGGCTGGTCAAAGGCCGCCTTCTCATGAGATTCCTTTCCTTGGGGATGGGTAACAGGCTGCAGGTGGAGCTGCTGAGCTTCATGAGACTGCTGGTGAGGAGGAGTGTGGACCGGCTGATGGGGGGACAGAGACTTCCCAGGCCTCAGCCAGGTCACCGAGAGTGGAGAAACCCTTTTCTATAGCTTATGGCATCGTGGATGCTGGGTGGTCAGTCTGTCTACTTAACCTGAAACTGTGAAGTTTTCCCTTTTTGCCATAAACCAAAAAGCAGATCTTTGAACTTTTGCCCTTTAAACACTAAAACCAAACTGTGCCCTCTGGTCCCTCGAGGTTAGTTGATCAGGGAGATCCACTTGGTCCCAGTCAGACATGTAGCAGGTGGAAGCAGTGTCTCATGAGGCTCGCTTGTCCTAACCACGCCTCTGTGGGTAGCCCCACATCTGTTCCTGTCTCCCCTTCTGTGTGAAGTTGTTTGCTTTCCCCGAATCTAGTTCGTTCTTCTCTTGAGTTGATTTACTTGAAACGTTACATGGTAGTGAAGGGTACCCAGACTACCTGGTGGAAGGTGTTTTGCAGTTTTAGTTTTTGATACCCATTTGATTTCACGTTTGCCTCCCTTGTGAATTTCCGTTTAGCACTATCCCCGCTGTATTGCGTTAGAGTTCTCTCTGACCCTAGAATGTTCCATCTTTGCCTCCCCCTCCCTTCAGTCTGTACTCAGGACCCACCTGCAGAGTTTTCAGAACTCTGCCCAGCAGTCACCCGGGCTGCTGGCTGACTGTTTGGAGAGCGTTAAGTCAAACGAGAACATTCCTAGCTTGTTTCCTAAGGGAAATTGTAATGTTGGTGCTGTAAGCCGGCATAAGCAGCACGGCTGTCTGTGGCCAGAGAACAAGATGTTTCCTTGGATGCTGCGGGTGACCCCTGATGGCTCAGTGATGTCATACACTGGCTGGAAGCTCTACTGAATGAACCCTACTATTTGGTTCTAAGTTTTGAGATTCTTTGGAGTCCCCGAAGTTCATGGTTAGTTGGGAAGAAAAGAAGTGGTATTGGTGGGGGTCAGGTAACCCTAAGAACCAGGAAATAGGTAAGAATCATATTTTATTTTATCGTGACATTTACAGCCCCCTGTCTACAGGGCGAACCTGTAAACTTCAGTGCTTTTTCCAGGCAGGATTTTGCTACTGATTGTCTTCCTCTTTTGGCCTCCTGCTGTGCCCTTTCCACTAGACCCTATACTACTCAACTTTGAAAATTAATTTAAATCCCTTTCTAGATGGACACTGAGTTTGTTGGCAAGGGAGTGGGCCCTATGAAGTAGTCTCTGCCTGTCTGGGAGTACCTACATGTCCTCTCCCTCTCCCCAAGTGTTGCTCCACATGAGTCAGAAAGTGGGTGACAACATGCGTTCAGCGTAGTTCCACATCACAGCCAGTGTCAGAACAAACGACACGGGATGATGTTCGACACCTTCCTCGTCAGTCCCACCCTCCCCCACCTGGAGTAGCTCAAGTCTGGTGAAGCAGAGAAGCTGTTGATGTCTAACCCTTCCATTAAATTAAGAAGTACTGACCTCCTAATATTTAAGTGTTTACTATCTGCTGTAAAGTTTTGTATATTTTGTAAACCTTTTTCCCCAAATAGTAGACGTCTAAAATCCTACATCTGATTCTTTTATATTCCATTGTTCAGCACAAAGTGTGGTTTTTATTTAGAATAAAAAAGAAAAAAGAAAGAAATTTGAAGTGGGAGTTCTTTTTCTGTGCCCATGCCTGTTTGCTCAGGCCCCGAGTTCAGCATCTGACTCTGGCTGGCCTCCAGAGCTCACACCAGCCCCGCAGATGCCAGGATTCTTTCAGACAACACATTGTGTTTTCCTGACGCTGGAATTCCCCAGGACCGGTGTGTTGGCTGTTCTTTTTAGTGGGAATTGAAGTCAAGTAATCAGTGTCTCAGGGAAGCATCCCTGAGGTGGTCTTGCAGCCTGGAGAGTATAGTGGGCCTCTGCAGAGCTCTCAGCCCAGAGTCAGGCAGCAAGGGCTCTTGCTATTGCCACTGTATGGTGAAGTAGTGTGGGAGGCAGATGGGGTGGTAAAGGAAGAGTGAACAGGAGGCAGAGGTTGGCGTTTTGTAAGCTAGGTCGTAGTGTTTTCCCTCAGAACATGACCTGTGGTCCCTTTGGTCCTGAAGCCTGAGGCCTGGCTAGTCATCTGCTTGGTAAATGTCTGCTGAGGAGAACAGCCTGGTAGTCAGTGTATCTATTTCTGCTCTTCTCTTCCGGGTGGAACAGCCCTCAGGAGATTTGCTCAGTGACACCTGGTCTCAGGGTGGAAGATGTGTACCAGTGTCACAGTGGTGTGGGCATCAGGACTTCGCCTTCATCGTAAATGGGGACAAGTGAAGAAGGGTTTTTAATGCAATTTCTGCATTGGTTAAATTTTTACTGTAACTTGAGCAGCAACTAAGACTTCCGGGTTAGCCTTGAACTCTGCCCCTGAGGAGCTGCCTCTAACTTAAGAGCCTGTCAGCTGTGGAGCCAGCACACAGAGTCAGTGTTGGCTCCCTCTGCACATTGGCAGTGCTTGCGCTAGAGGAGCGGCTGAGGGATTGGTCTGGTAAGTAGGGGTTGAGGTTTCTGAAAGCTGAACTGGTGTGACGGACGGACGGACGGATCCCTGGAGCTCTGGAGGTTTAGTGAGAGAAAAGAAGTTGGAGATCAGTTGATGGAGACATCTGATGTTGACCTTCTGTATGCACGGGCACACACTTGAGCATTTGTCTGCACGCGCGCGCGCGCGCACACACACACACACACCCACACCCATTTCAGTGACTCTGCCAGTGAGCAGAACAAGAGAGACAGTGAAGAGATCAGAGGAAATTATGGGGTCACCCATTACCAGAGCAGACTGCAAGTCCATTGACCTCCAGATGCTGCCCAGGGGCCAAGGCCACAAGGCAGAAGCTAGAGTCATGTCCGCTGCCCTGTTTACCAAGTCTGGCACCCAAGCCTTGGCTGCAGACTCGCCTGTCAGCAAGAGGACATCTTATCTATAGTGTTCCTAGACAAGGTGCTGGGCAGGGAGGCCTTTGGAGAACTTACTGTAGAGTTCTGGGAATGAGGAAGCAGTCTTTGGCTCATTTCCCTCTACCTGCAGGGGACAAAGGCAGAGGCCCAGAGTGAATATCCCCAGATACTTTGTGGTAATCTGGGAGATGGGGTGGGGTGGGGTCACTGGTGGCTCCGTGCTTCTCTAGGTTCAAACAGGGAGGTCATCGTGAGGAGGCCTCAGCTTTGGGGTGGGGGTAGGGGGAGCAGGATGGGTGGGGGAAGGGAGGGTACCACAGGGAAATGGAGCCACACTTTCTGGATGGCTGGGTGGAGGGACCATCCTGCTGAGCCAGCGGTGGGGTGCCTGCCGACTGGCCAGGCTGTAGTCCCCACCCCCTCAGCTCACTCGCCGTGTACTGCTAGAATGGCCCGGCAGAAGCCTCCTGGGTCCTTGGCCTCTGGCCCCTTATCCCCACAACTTGCTTAGTGAGCTGGAAGATCAACAAGCACACAAACACAAAAGCAAAGTTTTGCAAGGTTCCTGCGGCGTGGACTCTTTCCGGCCAGGGTGATTTATGAAACAGGGGCATCCAGTTCCCTCTGCAGAACATTCCTTCACTTCCGTGCCTTCCGAAGCCCAGCTGAACGTGCGCAGCGCTCAGATCCCAGCACAGCTGTCGCTACAAATTGATTTATTTCACCCCTCCCCCCACCTGTGTGGCTCCCTTTGCCAAGAAGACCCAAACAAATAGCTTACCACCAAGGGAGGACCCATGCCCTGTCCTTCCCAACCCTTCCCCCCCCCCCCCCCCCCCCCCCCCCCCCCCCCCCCCCCCCCCCCCCCCACCACCCACCCCCCCCCCCCCCCCACCCCCCCCCCCCCCCCCCCCCCCCCCCCCCCGCTCCCCACGGCAACGTTTTGATATATTTAAAATTGACCCTGAACAAGCCAGTTCCTCCCCTGTCCCCTCCCCCAGATCTGGAAGAGTCTGGAATCCACCTTAGCTGCCTGTGGAGTTGCCGAGTGTAGCCGAGGTGTGCGGAGGCGGAGGAGATGCCTCCTGAGAGTTTCGGATGGGGTTGGGGTGGAGATCTGCCCCGGGCAGGTCCACCTCCTTAGTAATGACGATGGAGTGCTGGGTGGAGGATGATGCCCTGGCCTGCTCCTTGGGAAGGTAGCGGACCACAATGCTCAGCAGCCGGCCCCGGAAGCTCGGGCTGAGAAAGTTGTACAGGATGGGGTTGAGGACACAGTGCAGCATGGAGAAGCAGTCGATGATTTCGTAGAAGAAGTAGAGCAGGTTAACCAGGTGGCAGTGGAGGAAGATGTGGGTGGCATGCAGGGTGAGCAGCAGCATGGACACATGGTAGGGCAGCCAGCAGACGACAAAGACGGCTATGTAAGCCCACATCAGCAGGCACTGGCGCCTGCTCTCCGGCCTCCCCTGCTTCCGAAGGCGGCAGGCTGTTAGGATGTTGAAAACCGCGATGAGAGGGAAGGGCAGTAGGAAGCCCAGGGTGGTAGCAGACAAGGCCACTGCCAGGGCCCATGTGCTGTACGTCTCGAAAGGTGCTAGGAAGAGGCACATGGGCTCAGAGCCATCCATCAGCTGAATATGCACCACCTCAGGCAGTGGGATGATGGCCGAGAGGACCCAGACGCCTGCGCACACGGCCCTCCGTATTCGGTGCTGGTGGCGCTGCCAGGAGGCAGAGGCTCGGGTGAGACTGACATAGCGGTCAATGCTGAGGCACGTGAGGAAAAAGATGCTGCTGTACATGTTGGCAAGGTAGAAGTAATGGGTGAAGCGGCAGGAGAAGCTGCCCCAGAGCCAGGTGTAGTCCAGCATGACCTCCAGCATCCAGACGGGCAGAGATAGGACGATGCCCAGGTCTGCGATGGCAATGTTGAGGATGTACAAGTTCAGCAGCCCCGCCCGGCCCGAGCGGCGCCAGTTGACGCAGATCACCAGAATGTTCTCCACTAAGCCCACCACAAAGATGGCCAGGTAGAGGACGAAGAGGACGACTTGCTTGGCATTCTCGTTGAGTTCCATGTGGCAATCGGAAAAGGTGTGGTTGAAAAGGTGGAGCAGTTCTGTCCAGTTATGGATCTCTCCAAAATCATGGTCGGGTGCCGAAGTGGGGCCTGGCCCAGGGCTGGGTTTGTCTGACATGAGGACCAGGTGAGGCCTGTTAAAAAAGAAGGGAGGGTTGTAAAAGAAAGAAGAGAGAGCTTCCCCAACGGCAGTCTCTATCCCCCCCCCCCCCCCAACTAAAAGCCACAGGAGTTAGGGGACTTTGGAAAAGACTTCGGGGCTGAAAGTATGTTTAGAACTCAAACTGTGACTGCTTAAGTTTGACCCAAGAGCAGACACATTTTGCAACAACGTCAACAAGGTTTCTTCCCAACATTGGCAGTGCCGGCTTACCACCAGCTCCAGGGGTCTCCAGCACAGACACACAGACAAATAGATAGACACTCACCCCTCACACCTCTGAGAGAGCATTTGTCTCCCGTCTCTGCCTGCCGTCTTCCCAGGGAGAAGACGCACTCACCTGACTTTCTCCCAGAGCACTTATCCTGGAGAGCCTGGTGGATAGTGGCTGGTAGTTGCCAGGAGGTTTCACCGGCCACAGATGTGGAGCTAGCTCTGCGGCTGGCTCCAGGCAGCCCTGCTCGCCTGCTGGTAGTAGCTGTCACTGGTTGAGGCTCTGTAGGAGAGGGCTGGGTTTTTTCCTGTATTCTCCCAATCCAATCCAAGGGGACAGGATGTCCCAGAAAGACTGACAGCGTGTGTGTGTGTTTGTGTGTGTGGTGGGGGTGGGGGTGTCAAACTGCAAGCAATGAAACCCAGACTCGCTAGCTGTATGACTTGACTTTAATTAAGCCTCAGTTCTTCTCATCTCTGCAAAATGGGGGCAACTACAGTATCTAGTAAAAGTGAGATTTCAAGAAAAAAATTAATTAAAAAATTAAAAACAGACCTTGTGATAAATTTCTTTTTTCTCTAATTATTTTTTTCTTTAATTAAAAAAGATTTATTTTATGTGTAAGAGTTTATTTTGCCTGCATGTACATAGATTCACCATGTGTGCCTGATGACTGAGGAAGTTCGAAGAGCTTAGAACTAGTTTTGGATGGTTGTGAGCCACTATGTGGGTGCTGGGAGCTAAACCCGGGGCTCCAGCCAGAGCAGCAAATGCTCTTAGCTGTAGAAGGAGACTGCTCTTTTGTTCCCAGCTGCCCAGACCTGAATAATCACACAGGAATAATAATAATCTCTATATTAATTACAACACTGTTTGGCCAATGGCTCAAGCATATTTCTGGCTAACTCATATCTTTTTTTTTTTAAAGATTTATTTATTTATTACGTATACAGTGTTCTGTTTGTCTGTATGCTTGCTGGCCAGAAGAAGGTACCAGATCTCATTACAGAGAGCTGTGAGCCACCACGTGGTTGCTGGGAATTGAACTCAGGACCTCTGGAAGAGCAGTCAGTGCTCTTAACCTCTGAGCCATCTCTCCAGCCCTAACTCATATCTTAAATTAACCCATTTTTACTGATTTGTATTTTACCACGAAGTTCGTGGTTTGTTACCTCTTGCTTCTTAGGTGGCTTCATGGCGCCTTATTGCGACCACCTATTCTCTCTATATGTCTCCCAGCCTGGCTATATTCTGTCCTGCCATAGGCCAAAGTAGCGTTATTCCATAGTGAATAAAACCTGCACGTGTACAGGACAATCCCACATCGCTTAACTGTTGAGTCATCTCTCCCAGTGGCTTAGAGTCTCCCTCCCGCTGTGTGTCTTCAGTTTTTCTCAAGCAGAACTGGGGTACAGGGACGAGTACACCCTGGAAATCACCAGGCTTCCGCTGTGGCACCTGCAATGGTTCCGCTCACCCTGGTCACCCCCCAGGGCTGCTGTTTTGTAATAAGAGGCTAACGTCTGCATTGTGGGCAGGGTGAGTTTCTCAACCCTCTCCGGAGCCCAGGGTTGCCTGTCTTGTGCCAGTCATTCTGCTCGGGACAAGACCTGGGGCAAGCTTGTGCCAGCTGCCAGGGATTAAAGATTAAGATTAGATTCAATGTTCATGGAACTGAAATTCTCATAACAAGATTAGCTATTTTAAAGATTTTTGTTTTGTTTTTCAAGACAGGGTTTCTCTGTGTAGCCCTGGCTGTCCTGGAACTTGACTCGTAGACCAGGCTGGCCTTGAACACAGAGATCCACCTGCCTCTGCCTCTGCTGGGACGAAAGGCATTGCACCACCACGGCCCGGCTAAAGATTTGTTTTTATTTATTTATTTGTGTGTGTGTGTGTGTGTGTGTGTGTGTGTGTGTATACCAAGTGTGTGCTGGTGCCTAGCAGAAGAGAGTGTTGGATCTCTGGAGCCAAAGTTACAGGCTCAGAGGCACTTCATGTGGGTGTTGGGAACCAAACTCAGGTCCTCTGAAAGAGCAGCAAGTGCTCTTAGATGCTGAGCCATTTCTTTAGCCTTCAAATTCGCCATTTTTAACTCTATAATTCAAAGTACATTTCATGCTGGCCAGTTTTATGTGCGCATAAGGCAGGCTAGAGTTATCTGAAAGGAGAGAACCTCAACTGAGGAAATGCCTCCATAAGACAGGGAATTTTCTTAATTAGTGGCTGATGGGGGAGGGCCTAGCCCAATGTGGGAGGTTCCGTCCCTGGCCTGGTGGCCCTGGGTTCTATAAGAAAGCAGACTGAGTAGCCATATGAATAAGCCAGTAAGCAGACCCCTCCATGGCCTCTGCATCAGCTCCAGCCTCCAGGTTCCTGCCCTGCTTGAGTTCCTGCCCTGACTTCCTTCAGTGATGGACTACAGTGTGGAAGCCAAATAAACCCTTTCTTCCCCAAGTTTCTTGGCCATGGCGTTTCATCACAGCCATAGTAAGCCTGAGTAAAACACAAGCACACCTCTTCCTAAGTCATTATCCCACCGAAACCCCTGCACTCATTAAGTCCCGTTCTCCACTTGGCCTCTTTGTTATGGTTTGTTTGCCGTTGAGTGGCAGGACAAACCCTGTGGAAGCTCTCTGCTCTAGCTTTTTCTCACCTGTGTTGACGCAGTACCACGGCAATGCCAGGTCCAGGTGGCAGGGATGAGACGGACCTTGGCTAGCAGGAGCCTCTCTGTGGGTGGTTTGCTCACCCTCTGGTGATCATTGCCACGCAGGAAGTGATGCTCCACAGGGTTTATGGGCACATGCTGCCCTTGTGGCCAGCAATTCCTTTTTGCTTTTTTGCTGTGATAATAAGTGCGGCTGGTTTATAGGATGGGTTTTTCAGTTCAGGACCTTAGTCTTCCTCACCCACCACTGATCTTTTTTTTTTTTTTTTTTTTTTTTTTTTTTTTTTTTTTTTTTTTGTCAGAGGAAATGACCTTTACTGAGCCTGAGGGCAGCTTGTCACTCACGGTTCTCACCACTGTGGCTGAGAATTGCGGGTCCACAGTGGCATTTGTCATTTCTGGAGATGCAGTCTAGCTACCGCCACTCACCGAGAACATGGCCAGCACTGAGCTACAGTGCAGGACTGTTGGGGTGGTGGTGGTGGTTGTGGGGCACCCTAGCAGCAACAAGCAGCTTCTACTTCTCAACCTCGCTCTCTTTCCCAGTGTCCTTGATGAGGTCACGCCACTTGTGTAATCTGCACTGTCCTCTTGACACTTGCCTTAGGCATACAGTGGGTTTCTTTTGTTCACAGAGGCCGGTGGGAGGCTGTGGTCCGAACTGTGACGGAGGCAGCCACCCACTGCCAATCTGCTCTCTGCCGGTGTGGCTTTGTGTTTCCAGGGCTCCTTCACATGTGTTGACTCTTAGTTTCCTTTCATGGCTGTGTAATGTTCCACTGTATGTACATACCACACTGCATTTATTCACCCGAAGAAGGGAACCTGTACGATTTGCTAACTGGTCTTTCATCGCGGTGAATCCAGATATCATTTGTCACCTAGACCATTGCGAAGGGTACAGTTCAGTGTTGTCACGCCACTGTCCTGCCCATCTCCATGGGAGCCTACACCGTAGTCCCCCCCCCCCCCCCCCCCCCCCCCCCCCCCCCCCCCCCCCCCCCCCCCGGAGGTTCTTGGTCATTTTAAAATCTTCAGAAAGTTTTTGCTATTTGTGTGTGTATGTGTATACAGGCAGGTATGTGCCTGTGGTAGTCAGAGGCCAATGTTAACTGTTTTTCTCTATTGCTCTCCATTTTATTTACATATTTATTATTATTATTAATTTTTTAAAAGACAGAGTTTCTCTGTGTAGCCCTGGCTGTCCTGGAATTAGCGCTGTAGACCAGGCTGGCCTTGAACTCATAGAGATCCACCTGTCTCTGCCTCTCGAGTCACCACTGTCTGGCATTTATTTACATATTTTAAATAATTTATTTTTATGTGTTTGTGTCTGTACATGAGCAATCAGTTTGTGAGTGTTCTTGAAAACCAGAAGAGGCTGCTGGACTCTCTGGAGCCAGAGTTGATCGGCTGGAGCCACTCCACATGGATGCTAACTCGGACCCTCTGGAAGCGCAGCAAGCTCTGTCACTGAGCCGCCTCTCCAGCCCCACCTCTGCATTAGTTTCCTGGTGTCACTCACTGGATCCGTAGCTCCCCTCTGGGAAGCTGATCAGCAAGCTGCTGAAATTCTCCTGTCTCTGCTCTCCTCCAGTCTTCTTTACCCACAAGGCCATCCTGCCCTTCCATGCCATCTTTTTCCTTCATTTTTAAAAATTTATTTTATTTTTTTCATTTTTGGGCAGAGCCTCCTTGTAGCGTAGGCTGGTCTGGAATTCAATAGTAGCACAGGTTGACCTTGAACTCTTGATTCTCTAGCCTCTGCTTCCCTAGTGCTGGGACTATATAACTCTGCACCACCACGCCCCGACCTAATTTTGCTGTTTTTCCTATATCTTCCTATTTGTAGATGAAGAAGTCTGTCCTGAGCTGGGAGGATGTGAAGTGTGGTTTAAATTTTGAAACAGTTCTGCGTTCTCTTTCTTTACACATACACAGCTTTTCTTGTATTAGGGTTCTGCCCCACCCCCAGGTGTCGACTCTGTGAGAATTTTCACTCCCTCCTCTGTCCCTTTAAGCCACACAGGTGGTGCCTCTGCAGGACCACTTCCTTCTGAGTACTGCCCTTTCGAATACCAGGGCCACGCCTTGGTGTTTTACTGGCTCCCTGAGCTTGCCCTCACAGGTGGAGACATTCACCCCCTTAAGTAGCTTAGCTTCTCCATGTGCTGGCCTGGTGGCACCTTTGGACAGACTCTAGAGGGACAGCTGCTCCTTCAGGAAGGAGTGAGTGTGAGTTCTGAAGCTCTCAGGTTAGATCGTGGTTTCCCTCCCGTGTATATGTGTGTGTGTGTGTGTGTCTAGGCGCCTTCCATTTCGTGTGTATATGTGTGTGTGTGTGTGTGTAAGCTCCTTCCTTTCCGTGTGTGTGCATGTCTATGAATGCATGTATGTGTGTGCATGTGTGTGTGTGTGTGTGTGTGTAGGCTTCTTCCCTTCTGTGTGTGTGTGTGTATGTGTGCAAACACATGAGTGCATTCATGTGTGTTCATATGTTTAGGCTCCTTGTCTTTGGTGTGTGAGTGCGTGCGTGCATATGTGTGTGTGTGTGTGTGTGTGTGTAGGCTCCTTGCCAGCCTGAGGCATACAGTTTTGTCTTAAGCAGCAAGAACAGTCACCTTGAA